CCCAACCATTTTTTTTATGGCAATTTTTACTTAAAACTAACTTTTATAACAAATAAATACCCCGAGTCAAAAAAAATAGTTCCTCGGACAAAAATACCATTGTTCATACATGATGGTGTCACATCCTGTAAGACGCTCAATAACCAAAGACGGTCCGGCATATATTTATGCTGCACCGGTACCCATGTCATAAGTATAGTACGTCTTACAACCCATGCCAGTAGACATACTGCCAGACCGCAGCAAAAATGTGTCGGGTTACATATTGCTATAGCGCTATTCCACTTGCCGAACCGAGATCAATTCACCTACTGCCAGACCACCATATAATGTTGCCAGACAGACAACACCTTCTGTGAGATCGCCAATATACAATGCCAGATTGAGTGCACCTCTTGCCGACCATTATTTAAATTTTCAAACCGACATCAATGCTTAACCAATAGCCGGACCGCAAAACACAATCGTTGGACTGACAACAAATATTGCTGAACTAAGATTTGGAAGTGTCAAACCGAAAGTATCTAATGTCAAACCATTTTTTGTCCAACGCCATCATATACGGACAAGAGCATTTTCATCTAAATAACTATGATTTTTTATTTGAAAGTATTTGCTATAAAAGTTAATTTTGAAATAAAAATTGCGATGAAGAGGTTGTAAAGAAAAGTTACTTCACGACTTGGCGGGTTTTACTTGCGTGAAATATACATATTCAAAGTTTAGTAGCGTCCTATGATGAGCACAACATGATTAGATTCGAGGATTAGGTTAATCTCCTGATCATCAAGATGATGTTGGAGAAGATGAGGAGCCGTAGGCTTGGGAAAAACCTCTACTAAGTCAAAAACCTTCAAAAGTTTTGCTTTGCATGAATAAGCGGAAGCCCAAGTCAAACCAAAATGCTCACCTAATGAAAAGTTCATTGTGCGTCTCCGGAGGCAGGAGATCACCCTTATTTTTCATAGAATTAGGGCATGAATCATTTTCCGATTCATTGGAAATGCGTATTCACCTTAGATCCATCCTTTTGCTTATCTAAATAGAAAAGTATACAGAGTGACTAGTAAAAGATAGTTCAAATTTTAAATTGGGTGGCTGTAAGTGTGTCATTGACTAGATACTTCAAAAAAAATAAATAAATAAACTTATCGAACTTCCTGACATATCCCAAGTTATCAAACTTGACATCTAATGGTAAATGGTCTCATAGTACACAATCCCAATTTAAATATAGCGTAGATCTAATGATCTACAAAGAACTAAAATGAACAGTTGCAAAAAAAAAAAAATCAAATTAGACAACTCATGAAGTTCAAAAGTCTTTTTCTTTTTTCTTTTTTTTATTTTTTCCTTTCATTTTTTCTTTTTTTTTGTTCTTTTAAAATTTATGATCATGGTGGGCATTAACCGATAAACCACATCTATCTCTGTGATGGATTTTAGAAGGGGGACTGCATGTGAAGAGGGACATTAGCTAACCCGGTAAAATCCCATCCTTTAAGGAAAATATCTCTAAAATGGTCAAATCACGGTCATTGGTCAAAGTATCCAATTTAATATTAAAGCAGTTGCTCACATATTCTACTCAAGAAATTTCTTTCAAAATACTAAAATTGTGCCAGATTCATGATCCAGAATGTTGAACAAGCAGGGGTACAATCAGCATTTTTTCTCGGGCCACTCTGATCAAGGTTAGGAGAACCATAACAAGGATTTCCAATTAAAAAAATGAATTCGGTGTTAGGCATTAGGGGTATGGTCATCATTTTGTTCGAGCTACTTAATTTGAGAACAATGATGATAATACCACTCCCCCTATTTATAGTTAGCAACTCGAAAGATGGATTGCCAATTAAAACGATAGACTTCGAGTTCCTAAAACTGAAAAGGTGAGGGAAGATCCATGGTTATGCTCGGGCCACTTAATTCATGCAAAATGATGATAGTGTCCTTGCATGTTTAGAATTAGAAACCTGAGCAATTCTAATGAAAAATTGAGATTCAAGTTTTCTAAACAAGAATAAGCTAGGCCATAATTTGCTCAGGCCACTTAGTTCAAGAACAATAA